TTTTTATGACCTAGTAATATTCCATTTTGTATATGTACCATAGCTTTTTTTATCCACTCATCTATTGATGGGCACCTGGGTTGCTTCCATATTTTGGCTATTGTAAATAATGCTGCAATATACATAGGGCTGCATATGTTCCTTTGAACTAGTGTTTTGGGTTCCTTCAGGTATATATCCAGAAGTGAAATTGCTGAATTGTTGGGTCATAAGGCAGTTCCATTTTTAATTTTTTGAGGAACTTCCATACTGCTTTCCATAGTGGCTGCACCAGTCTGCATTCCCACCAGCAGTGCAAAAGGGTTCCCTTTTCTCCACATCCTCACCAGCACTTGTCTAGTGATTTATTGATGATAGCCATTCGGACAGCTGTGAAGTGGTATCTCATTGTGGTTTTGATTTGCATTTCTCTAATTAGTGACATTGAGCATCTTTTCATATGTCTATGGGCTGTACATAAAACATGTTATTAGCATTGACTCCTCCCCATTTGTCAGAGAATAAACCTGAAGGGTCTAGGAAGATGTCTGACCGCTCTTTCATCATGCAAAGGCTTTGGCCTTTTCTTTGAGGGATAGCCTATGGTACAAAGAACAGAATGCTTTGTGTGTGTATGAAAATATTTTCCCATTTTTCTTGCAAGAAGCATGAGGCAATTTTTTCTAAGATTCACTATTAGAACCTGTTTGGGCTCCAGCAAAAAAAACCTCACGAATTGTGGGGAGCACTGTAAAGATAGGCCCCCACTTTGAGTTTGTAAATCTTAAGCTAGTTGTTACTGTGCCAGAAATTCATCTGTTAGTTTACATATTCCCAGTGGCTGCTGGCTCCCCTGGCCTCTGCTTTCGGTAAGCAGTAATTCTCCATAGTCGCCAGTCTCTCATTTTGGGGGCATTGCTTTGCCATAAAACCTCAAATATCTCATGGATCTAAGAAGAAATGTTGCTCTTCAGGTTTTTCAGGTTTTTTGTTGTTGTTGTGAAGATGAGAATGGACACTCCAAGCTATTTACTATGTATTGGGAAATCATCCACTCATTTGTGTTACCATTTATTTCCTTTATGACACTGTACCATTTTTAAATGATTCATTCTACTGCCAGTGCCCATGTGGGTGGTTTCAAAGGTTTTTTTTTCTGAGACCATTGCATCTAAAAATGTAATCATAATAGGATCTCTGCATTTTGATTTTTTTATCCTCATTGTCTCAAAATTCCCCACACTGGACAGCTATTTGTCACCTGAAAAACCTTTTCCATTGATGATCTTGTTTTATCATTAACCTTTTTTAAAAAATATATTTATTTATTTTTAGAGATATGGGAAGGGAAGAAGAGAGAGAAACATTAATGTGTGAGAGATACTTTGACGGGTTGCCTCTCACACAGCCTTCCAACTGGGCACCTAGCCTGCAAGCTAGGCATGTGCTCTGATGGGGAATTGAACTGGTGACTTTTTGGTTCACAGGCGCTTAATCCACTGAGCCACACCGGCCAGAGCTATCATTGCCCTTTTTAAAAACAGATTTTACGTATTTATTACTAGGGAGAGGGGAATGGCGGAAGAGAGAGTGAGAAACATCAATTGGTTGCCTTCTGTATACCCCCTAACAGGGTATCAAACCAGCGACTCTTTGCAGGATGATGCTCAAGCCATCAAGACACACCAGTCAGGGCTACACTGCCCTTTTAATGGCTGGATTAACACCTTACTTAAAATAGGATCAAATGTCAAGACTATGTCACCATATGCATCGAGGGAAGTTACTCAAAGGTACCTTCTAAAAGGTAACTTCACGTAGGTGGCTTCCACAAAGAATGGGTTGGCCCTTTAAGAAGTGTAGGATTAGAGGCTGGAAATATTCAAGATTTGATCCTTTCACCTGCTCACTCAAGAGATGTGCCAACATCACAGATTTCCCTGTGTGGGTCATGCAGGGTGTGCAGGTATCTATACTGATTAAGGGTCAACTATTAAAAGTGAGCTCGTTACCTTTATTAAAGCTCTTTCCTGAGCTTTGTTGACTGAACTGTGTCACTGCTCTAAGTTGAAAAATCCTAACAAAGGCTGTTTGAGTCCAGTCATCCTTAGGAGTTGGAGAGATCCCAGAGAGTATGGTTCCAGAACAGTTCTAAGAGCTTAATAATGTTACTTCTGTCCGTGTTGTGTTTTTGGTGGCACCTTGCCAGGGCAGCCTGCCCACATGCTGCCAGCAGCCCTTTTAGGGACACAGAACTCTCTCTGGCTGCTGCTACTAAATACACCAAGGCCAAGTGGTCATCAGCTACTGCAGGGGTTTCTGTCAAGGAAACCATCTGAAACATTAGCTGTTACGTGCATTTTTTGTGTTTTTGACATTACCACACTGGCATTAATGGTGTTTGTTGAATGACTGTCATGTGTGCCCCAGTCCATGCCAGTGCCTCCCAGGACAATGAGTGCCTGAGGACAGCTGGTAGGGAGTCAGCCCATTTGTGGTGGATGCGTGGAGGGGTTTTGAAGAAATAGGCCAAAAATCAAATATACAGAAAATCTCAGGAGTGGCATGTAAGAGTTGTGGCTAGGACACACTAGTCCAATAAAACAAAGATCTGTAGGAGACGATTCTGACAGAAGTGTCTGGTAAGCCTGATGATCAGAACAACGAACAGCAACAGGCCCTAAGGACTGAGCCCTGAATCTAAATAATGCCTCAAACAGCAGGAAGATCCACTTAGAAGCAAGCAAGTTTTCTCTAAACAATGAGGCCAACCTGTGAGAGTTGTAGGGGGTCATAAGAGAGGTGCAAGGCCCATGAAATGCCTTTTTCAGGAGCCCAATGTTTTGTTTTAATTTCTAGAGTCTTTGTTAAGTGCTTGCATTTTGGCTTCAGTTGGATCATGTATGATAGGATGAGTAATTTGTCTGAGTTTCTACCATAGTATGAGCATAGCAAGTAAGCCCAGCAGAGGGGGTGAGGGGCTATTAAAAAGCATATGCCATTAGCTGCAGGGACCATTTCCTTGGTAAGGAAAGTATGTTGATTGTATTACCAGTGGTGCATTTTTTTTTTGTTCACATTAGGTGCATTAGTCCGTCACCAAGTGAGCCACAGCACAGGAAGGAAGTTTCTTCAAGTTTGCCTAGAACTTTAGGTTAGAGGCCTTTTAATGGCTTGGTATTATGTGGGCCTAGAGTGAAGGTTAATGGCATCAAATCTGAGGTGTCAGTATATGTCTCAGAAATCTGACTCAATTTATTTCCCTGAGCATTAAATGAACCTCTGCAGATTGAGGTTTAATATATGCAGACTTATGAGTGACCTTGACTTGTACTTGGTCATTGTGAAACAAGATATTCCCAGATCCCTGGCTGGTGTGGCTCAGTTTGTTGGAGCATCGTCCTGTAACTGAAAAGTTGTGGGCTTGATTCCTGGTACAGGCACATACCTAGGTTGCAGGTTTGATCCTCGATCCCCAATCGCTGGTCCAGCACATTCAGGAGGCAACTGATTGATGTTTCTCTCTCCCCCCCTTCTTCTCTCTCTAAAAGCAATGGGGGGGGGGAAGATATTCCCAGAGTTTGTTATGCCAAAGAAGGTGGTATTGGGTAAGATGTTGTTGCTATTGGCATGATGAGACAGCTGTATATTCGCAAAAGCCAAAAGATCTATAATAATGTGTAAATGAGTTTAATTCTTGGCCAGGGAGTTCTCTAATCCTAACATGATTGCCTGGAGTTTAACTAACAGATCTGCTCTTTGTGTCCCATCTTTGATCAGGGATAAAATACAGTGTCTCTGCAGTGGGCTCCCAGGTGTGGTGGAAGCACACTGTCTATAAAATTTATGAATTATCTGGTCATTCATGTGCTCCTAAGAGACTACCAAAGTGGCCAGTATGTCTAGAAAAGTGATCTCCTTCAGAACAGACTGTACAAATGTGAAGGAAACACACTTCCCCCTATAGGTGGGATATCCGGGGCACCATGTTCAGTGCTGAGCTCTAAGTACTAGTATCTCTAAGTGAGAACTATAGTTAGAAAGCCTGAGGGTCCTGCATTCATGACTCAAGGCAAAATTGGTAGCAGGCTACAGAGGACGATCAACTCAGGGCCTGGGAGGGCCTCCATTACAAAAAAAATTTTGTCAGTTGTCAGCAGTGGTTACTCTAACTGTATGCAGCCCGGGCAGAGGAAGAGTCTCTGAATAAGAATACTCTGGGTAATTTATGTCCACCACGGCTGGTGTGCAGTCTTAGATGCCTCTATAGAAAGGGGTGTGGGGAGGAAGACTAATGGAGTGACTTATGTGTACAAATTCTAGAGCCATCTGTAAGTGTTGCGGGAGTAAGAAAGCAGATCTGATAAACGTGTGACAGCTGTGGCTGAAGGGAGTCAGCTCATCACACAGGCTCTGCCACTGTCATTCTTCCAGCTCTCAGCCCCCTGATATTGTCAAGGAGAAATCAATATGAAAATAATAATTCACTCGAAACTATCATATACTTGCACACATAAAAAATGTGTTACAATGGTTTCTCAGTGTGGAAAGTGAAAAATGGCTCCTATACCCACCACTCCCCAAATGGAGTTTTCTCAGTAAGACAGGTAGAATATATATATAACAGATTAGAGATACCCAGAAACTGTCACAAAACTAGTAGGAAAATCCCAACAAAAAACAAACTTTGATTTTTCAATATTCCCTCAACAAACAACAAATAGAACATCATTAAAAAATTAAATCCGATTGTATATTATAAATACACTTCAATTGACCTATGAATCTAACAGGTTTCAAAATGGAAATATAAAATACTATTCACTAATTTAAAGAAATGCTACCTATAATTTTATATATTATTTATTGAGTGATGACTCAGAATTATCTGAATATTCAGCTCTGAAAATAATTAGAAATCCACAGCCCAACAATGCACTTTAAAAAGGAGGCTTGACAAACAATATATTTACATTTATAATGACCCTTACATATTGAAAGTTTTCTAGAACATTACACATGAATTTCCATCAAGCTTTCTCATGTTACTCACATTTATCTCTTTTTCGGTTTTTTCCCCCACATGTAGGAATGTGGATCAGGCTTTCTTATGCTGTTTACATTCAAGAGGATGTATCCTGTGGGTCTTTTTATGCCTTCGGAAGGAACTGGGATAACTGAAGGATTTCCCACATTCCTTGCATTCATATGGTTTCTCTCCAGTGTGACTTCTTACATGTACTTGGAAACCTATCTGAGAAGAAAAAGCTTTACCACACTGGTTACATTCATAGGGTTTCTCTCCAGTATGACTTCTCTCGTGTATTTTTAAGTAACTGTGATCTCTGAATGCTTTACCGCAATGTTTACATTCACAGGGTTTCTCTCCAGTGTGAGTCATTTCATGCCTGCGTAATGTACTGGGAAAATAAAATGCTAACCCACATTCCTTGCATTGGTAAGGTCTATTTACATCATGGACTCGCATGTGTGCCCTAACACGTGATGGATAAATGAAGGCTTTCCCACATTCCTTACACTGATACGGTCTATCCCCACCATGTATTTTCATGTGTGACCGAAATCCAGATGGATTCCTGAAGGCTTTCCCACATTGCTGACATTCATAGGGTTTCTCTCCTGTGTGCAGTCTCTTGTGTATCTTTAAGGCTTTGTTACTGCCTAGGGTTTTCCCACATTCCTTGCATTCATAGGGTTTCTCTCCCATATGAGTTCCTCTTTGTAATTGCAGGTAATGGTAATAACCAAAAGCTTTACCACATTTGCATTCAGAGGGTTTCTCTCTGTTGTGATTTCTTTCATGTAATTGGAAACCTCGATGGCAATTAAAACCTTTACCACATTGCTTACACTCATAGGGTTTCTCTCCCTTGTGATTTCTTCTTACATGTATTTCAAAACCTTGATGAGAGCTGAAGGCGTTACCACATTTCTTACATTCATAAGGTTTCTTTCCTTTGTGATGTCTTTCATGCACTTGGAAACCTCGATGAGAAATGAAAATTTTACCACACTGCTTACATTCAAAGAGTTTCTCTCTTGTGTGAATCTTTACATGTGCTTGAAAAGTATGAGGATATCTAAAGACTTTTCCACATTGTTTACATTCATAGGGATTCTCTCCTTGGTGATATCTTTGATGTGCTTGGAAACCTCGTTGAGAATTGAAAGCTTTGCCACATTGCTTACATTCATAGGACTTATCTCCTGTGTGAGTCCTTTCATGTGATTGAAAAGCACGATGATATCTAAAGACTTTTCCACACTGTTTACATTTATAAGGTCCGTATCTATTGTGCATTGCCATGTGTCTTCGAAAACTTGTGAGCCACATGAAAGGTTTCCCACATTCCTCACATTCATACTGTTTTTCTCCTGTGTGAATCCTTTCGTGTATTTGCAAAGATGCCCGAAAACGGAAGGCTTTCCCACATTCCTTACAGTGATAGGCTTTGTCTTCAGTATGCATCCTTTGATGTATTTTAAATAAACTTGAAAAAATAAAAGCTTTCCCACAAATCTTACATTTAAATGGCCTCTCTCCATATTTTAGATACTCATATGGTTTTTGTCCAGTGTGACACCTGATGTGCCAATTAAGGGAAAAATGATGCATGAAGACTTTTCCACATGTATTGCATTCATGTGGTTTTACTTCAGTGGTTTCCTTGTTCAGACTGAGATTTGAGGTAAGGCTGAAATTTTCTCCACATTGACTACCCTCTTTACTTTCATAGAGTCTTTCTACCATTTGACTTCTGCAAAAAAGGAGAAGCACATTATAAATAATTTTTTAATAAAACTTTTCAAACTATTTATTAGGGTTTTAGGAAAAGTGTAAGTTCCTTGACTTTTCTGAATTCTCTGAAATTGAATATACTAAATGGTCTCCAGGAGGATTTCACCCTTGCAATGATCAAAACAGTGATATTCATATAGAAAGCTTATTAATACAGTTTCCAAGTAAACTGTTTTGCAAACACTGAATATTTATGTCATATATAAAGAAAGTATTTCTGCTCTGGCTGGTGTGGCTCAGAGGACTGAGCACTGGCCTGTGAACTGAAAGACTGTCGGTTCAGTTCCCAGACAGAGCACATGCCTGTGTTGTGGGCCAGGTCCCCAGCTGTGGGCGTGTGAGCAACTGATTAATGTATTTCTTGCACACTGATGTTTCTCTCCCTCTCCTTCTTCTTCCTTTCTCTCTAAAAATAAATAAATATTTTTTAAAAAAGTATTTCTGGTAAAAAATTCTTAACTAAATTTGGCCCTTGCTGGGTGGCTTAGTTCGTTAAAGCATCATACCATACACCAAAAGGTTGCAGATTAGATCCCTGGTCAGGGCACATACCTTGGTGGCAATTTCAATCCCCGGTTGGGGCATATATGGGAGGCAACCGATGGATGTTTCTCTCTCACATCAATGTTCTCTCTCTCTCCCCCACCCTTCCTCTCACTTTAAAATCAATAAGCATACACTTGGGTTAAAAAACAAAAACAAAAAAGAATAATTAATTTGAAGCAGGAGTTATTTTGTTTCCTTTTTTAAAAAATTCATAACATACCAGAATTTTCCCATGAGACACTACTTTCTATTGTGACTGTGACTCACCTGAGTTTTCTTCCCTGGTTTTTGTCCTGATCTTCAACGTCATGATCTTCCCATTTTTTGCCTAAAATGTAAACCCAGAAAAATGATTACAAATACTAAAAGCTATTAAAAAATTGTTAAGATGCTATCTTCAGAGTTAGCTGTGACCATGCCTAGTTTATTTACCAATGTCCTTTTCCATGTTCCACATTTTGGAAAAAAGATGATGAGCAAAAAATACCTGTTCTCTAATTGACCAAGTCAAGAAAAAGTTGTCATCCTTACCTACTGAGTCCAGGTTCTTGAAAGTTTCCTGCATCACATCTCTAAACAGTTTCTTCTGTGGCGGATCCAGTAAGGCCCACTCCTCCAGGGTGAAGTTCACAGCCACATCTTCAATGGCCACAGCATCCTAAAACATCCCAAGCATGTTTACGGTAGGATGCGTGAGACTGACTGCACGTGACATCTAGACTCCACTCACAGGAAGCTTATGTATGATTCTGTCATCTCAAAACACTTATGCAATGACTTGATCATCAGAAACTTACTTTCTATCCACACTTAACTTCCTCATAAATTTAACAGCATGGTGAACACATGGGAATGATTTACACAATTTTACTGTGATCAAAAAAGATTTACATCTTATTTTTTCTCTTAAGGTAGGGATGAGAGCATGTGGAGAAGTGACAGAAATGCTATACAAATAAAACAAGTATTTTAAGACCATTGTGAGAAAAACTCATTTCCTTCCTATCTATCATTTACAGCCCAGCATGAGGCAGAGGGTCAGATCTGCATTAAAGTTTAACGAACAAAAAAAAGGAAGCCTCTTCTTTTTTTAAAAAAAGATTTTATTTATCTATTTTTAGAGAGGGGAAGGGAGGGAGAAAGAAAGAGAGAGAGAGAAACATCAATGTGCATTTGCCCCTCACATGCCCCCTATTGGGGACCTGGTGCACAACCTAGGCATGTGCTCTGAGTGGGGATTGAAGAGGCGACCCTTTGGTTCACAGGCCGGTGCTCAGTTCACTGAGCCACACCAGCTAAGGCAGAAGCCTTTTCTTCTACTCTCATCAGCAAACATATAGTCCAAGAGACCAGTGGAAACCCAACTTTTAATAAGGTCCAGCTGGCCATTGTCATCCCTAAAGTACTACGGGCCTCTAGAAGTAGTCAGATACAGCTGGCAAAATTGAAATATTTTTGAGAAAAAGTATTGTTTTTGCCTTGCATAATCATTGCCACAGACTCAGTTCTGCTTTCTCTCTCAGTCCAATTTGATGGGCTAGAAAGTTAAGGAAAAAGGCACAACTTAGATCACAAAATCCCTATACTCATGTGCTCAAGGCTGCTTAAAGACAATTTTTGGCAGACACAGGCACACACAATAATAAATGTGCCAGAAGTGCTCTTCTCAGTAGAAACAAGACACCGCCCTGTACCTTCCTGACTTGAGAATCAGGCTGAGAGTTGGCGACTACAACTGTGTTCAGTGAAATCCACAAAAGTTTGACAGCAGATTTGCCTGTGAATATAACATACATGGAAGGATTCAGCAGTGTTTTCCTCCAAAAGAACATAAGATCTCCAGTTTTAAATTGCAGGAGTGTTTCCCAACCAGCCACCCTAGAGGCTGCACTCCCAGGTTCTCTAGTTCCCAAGCTCACACGTGGAGTGAGGCCACGTGGCACCTTGAGCCCTGAGCACATGTTGAATCCCTTCAGTGATGACCACACACAGCCAAGAGTGTATGAAGGGCTTATTACTTCCAAAATTGAGGAGTGTGGGGAAGGAAAGGGAAGCCTCTCCAACAATCATGAAATGGCTTCAGAGTAAGAAGATATGCCTGCACTTTTTGTAAGGTTGAGGTTAGTGGGTGGGTTGGTTATGGTTCACTTGCAAGATCAGGACCTTAGAGGACTGAATCCCCTGCCACCTTTAAAGGAAAAAGCACAAAGGTACTTTCATCACTTTGTGTAGATGTGGGTCAAAGGGGAATAAGGAGGGATGAGACTGAAAAGTTGTCATCTGTCAATCATCAACAACTGAAATCAGAGAATTCTGGTTTCCAGTCGGATGTTTAAAGAACTTAGAGGCCATCATTACCGATGTCATAGAAGAACTTGAAATGAACAACTTTTCTTAGATCTATTAAAGGACTGCAGCCACAATCAAACCACTCTCTTCAACAATGTCAAAGAGAAAAATAAAACAGCATTTCATTTTATACATATATTTATTGATTTTAGAGAGGGAGGAAGGGGGAGTGAGAGAGAGAAATGTCCATCCATCAGTTGCCTCCTGTATGCTCCCCAACCGGGGACTGACAGACAACCTTTTGGTTTATAGGACAATGCTCCAACCAACTGAGCTATCTGGCTGGAGCAAAACAGCACTTTAAAATATGCCTAAAATATTCTGTTCTTATCAAGGCCTGTAATACAAAGACAAAAAGAATGAGCGTCACAGAACACAATACTCATAAACTACAGTGCAATTACAGAAGATTGAAATATACATAATGGGGATACCTGAAGGAAAAGACAAAGGAACAGGAAAAACAAACAAACAGGTAGCCAATAATAGCTAAGATTTTTCTAAAAATTACTCATAGTCAGCAGATTGTACAATTAAGCAGCTCAGTGAACGCTAAACATGAAAAACACCTGAAAGCAATATCAAACAGCTGCCACTATACAAGGGAAAGGAATTTAATGGTAGCACCAGAAATGCAAACCAAGTATATCATGTTCAAACTAGAGAAAAATCAAAGATGAAAATATATTGAAAAAAAGTCAGAGGGGAAAACATTTAGGTATAGAGGAAAAAAAAGATTAGAATTAAATCAGACTTCTCAGACACCATGCAAGCAAGAAGAGAGTGGAGTAAAATGTTTAAAGTGTGAAAGAAAAAAAACTTTCTTAGTTTGGAAAACCAAAAGCTGGCCCATTGAAAAAATAAAATGATAAACATCTAGTCAAGATAATTGAGAAAAGAGAAAACATAGAAGTTACTAATATTAGAAGTAAAAGTAAGGGCAAATGAACAAGAAAAGGGATTTTATACCATCCAACATCCATTTATGATAATCTAGTTAAAGGAGAATTCTCTCTTCTTGAGAAACAATATCATGATACCTATTGCTAATATCATACTTAATCATAAGAAACTAGATGCTTTTCTGGTAAGATGGGAGAAGGGCAAAGTTTCCTCTCACCAATCCCATTAAATACTGTACTGGAAGCCCTAGCCATGTAATATGTAAAGGATATAAAAGGTACATAGACGGAAGCAAGAAACAAAAATGTCTTTGTTCCATGACATGACTGTCTGGGTCAAACATCTGAAAAAACCAACAATAACAGAGATGATGGCTGAAATAGCTAGGGGACTGACTTTGACAAACGAGTAAAGGCAATTATAAGAAAAAAGAAAGTTTTTTAAACAAACCATGCTGGAAATAATAGATATCCACATACAATATACATACATACACACACGAAAAATGAATGTAGACATAGAACTTAAACTTTGCACAAGTAACTCAAAATAGATCATATATCCAAATGTAAAATGCCAAAGTAAAAACAATTCCTAGAATGCAACAAATAAAGTCTAGGTGACCTTGTATTTAGTAAAAAAGTTTCACTTCATTAATATGAAAAACTGTAAGTGAAGAGTGTTAAGAGAATGAAAAGATACGTCACAGAATAGAAGCAGGAGAAAATCTTTTGTAAAATACTTATCTAATAAATGATGGGTATCAAAATATTCAAAGAACTCTTACAACTGAACAATGAGAGCACAAATAAGCCAATTAAAAAATGGACAAAATACTCTGACTGGGTAGCTCAGTTGGTTAAGCGTGCCATCCAGATATGCAAAGGTTGTGGGGTTCGATTCCCGAATCAGGGCACATTCGAGGTCAACCACTGACTTCATAAATAAGCGGAGCAACAAATCAAGGTCTGTCTCTCCAATCAACAAATTTAATAAAGTGGACAATTCATCAAAGAAAAATGCAAATGGGAAATAAGCAATATGAAAACATGTTCATTGCACTGGAAGATTACAAATAAAACAATGAGATATTACCACATATTTTCAGGCCTTATTGACATTGTCTCTCTCATTCAACTATATTATAAAAGCCTAAGTTCTAATGGAAACTAGAATCAAACAGCTGCCAATATACAAGGGAAAGGAATTTAATGGTAGCACCGTCAAAAATATGAGAGAGGAGAATCAAGATGGCGGAGAAATGAGGGGAAGTCACACTGACCTCCTCCCTGGACCAACCTGGAATTACAACTAAATTGTGGAGAAATCATCTGGAACAAACAACTGAACAATGGCGATAGAGGAGCCTTAAAACCTCGGACAGACAGAAAAATCAGCTTTAGCACAACCTGACTGGTAAGGAGTGCGGTAGAGACTCAAATAGGTGGGTGGGGCGCCCATGGGCAGCAGCACTAGAGGGATATTGAAACAGCCAGTTGGCTCTCCCTGAGAAGAGCAGGGTCTAAACCATAGCAGGGATCTCCAGCCTACAGCTCCAGAGCCCAAAAAGTGCACAGATAACAGCCAGCTTCAAAAAGCTGCAGGGTTGCTTTCTGCCAGAGACAGGTGGCTGGACATGCAAAGAGACATTTAAAGGTCCAATGCATAAATTTTTATTGGCAGCCACTTACCCTGGTCTCTGGCAAAGGCGGGAGCAGAGTGGGCCGGAGACGCCGGAGGAGAGACTGGGGAAGGAGGCTTTGGGGAGAGAACAGAGAGAGAGGCTGGCAGGATGTTACTGACTCCTCTCCCACACGGCAGCAGCCATCTGGCTCAGGCAGACCACTCCTGAGTGGCAGCAGCATGGGAGGACCCAATAACCCTGTCCCCACCCTGTGGTGTCTCAGCTGGCCTGCTGAGTGCAGAGTGACTTGACTAACAGATGAAGGAGACAGCCACAAACAATAGATTCCTGGAAGTCCCGAACAGACTACCTAAGGTCAGACAGGGTCAACAGCTTACATCATCAGATCCAGAAAGAAAAGACATCAGTCTCCTACCATAGAAGTTCATACCACAAAGTCAGGAAACCAAGACAGGTTAATGGAAGAAGCAGAAACAAAAAAGAAGAGCCTCACAAATAATGGGAAGACAAAGAAACACCCCCAAGTCAAAGGGAAAGGAGGAATCCCCAGAAAGAGAACTAAATGTAATAGAGGCACATAAACAATCAGATATTGAGTTCAAAACAATGGTTCTAAGAAAGCTCAATGAGCTCAGAGAGAATTACAAAAAACTACAGGGAAACTACAAGGAAGTCACTGCCAACTATATCAGCATGAAAAAGGACACAGAGACTATCAATAAGAGACAAGAGGAAATGAAGAATACAATTTCTGAATTGAAGAACACAGTAGAAGGAATAAAAATCAGGCTAGATGAAGCAGAGGAACGAATCAGTGAGCTGGAGGATAAGGTAGAAAAAAGCTCCCAGAAAGAGCAAGAAAATGAAAAAAAAAAAAAGACTCAAAAAGAATGAAGAGGTGTTTAGGGATATGCAGGACGAAGTGAAACATAATAATATCCTCATACTAGGGATACCAGGAGAAGAGCAGGAAGGGATAGAGAACCTGTTTGAAAAAGTAATGATGGAAAACTTCCCTAATTGGAGGAGAGAAAAAGGCACACAGGTCCAGGAAGCACAGAGGGCCCCATTCAAAAGGAACCCAATGAGGCCCACTCCAAGACACATCATAATTAAAATGGCAAATATCAAAGACAAACAGAGAATCCTAAAGGAAGCAGGGAGAAAGAATTAGTAACATAGGAGGGAGCCCCAGTACAGCTAGCAGCTGACTTCTCAACAGAAACACTACAGGCCAGAAGGGAACAGCAAGAAATATTCCAAGTAATGAAAAGCAAAGGCCTGCAACCAAGACTGCTCTATCCAGCAGGGCTCTCAATTAAAATGGAAGGCGAAATGAGTTTCCCAGGCAAAAGAAGGCTAAAAGAACATACCCCCACCAAACCAGTATTGCAAGATATGCTAAAGGGAGTGCTTTAAGAAGATGAAGAAAAAGAGTCTATGAATACCCAGTTCCTTTCACAGTCACCAATAGTTGATATTACCAATATTTTTAATATTTATTAATCTGATTGTTAGGATGATGTGTTATTTTAATTGTTACTCTATTATTTGTTGAAACTAAACTAGTTTTTGTATATTTATTGCCTATTTCTATTATTTTTAAAAATCTTTAAATGACCTTTTAGTATTCTTTATCTGTTTTTTGACTAAATGTTTGTAGAATTTTTTCCCTAAAAAAAAACAAAGCACTATTAACCCTTTTTTAGGTGTTGCAAATACTGTCCTATTCTATTACTTGTCCTTTAACTTTTTTAGATGTATATTACTGTATAGTCTTACATGTTTAATATAGTCATATTGTCAATATTTTACTTTATAGCTTCTGGGTTTGAATATTTTACTTCGGGGTAAGAAAAATACTATTTTGTATTTTGTCCTAAAACTCCTTAGATTTTACATACTGATTTTTAACTCACCTGAATATTTTTTGTATAATGTGTGAAATAGGGTTTTATATTTGTTTTATTTCAAAGTAATAGTGGCCCATGCACTTTATTTGTTGAATAAGCCTTATTTTCCCCATTGATCTGAAATATCAGTTTAATCACATTGTTAGACAGATATATACATTTGTTTCTAGAATGTTCATTTTATTTCATTGATCTAACTTGATTATTTCTGTGGTGTCATGCTTTAATTGCTGAGACTTTATAATCGATTTAAAATTTTTAATATTTTGTAATGGATTTTGACATTTAAAAAATAAATAAAATCAATCTGCATTTAAAAAAAAAGAAAAAAGGAATTTCAACTTTTTGTGACAACATGGACAGAACTGAGAATATTATACTAAGTGAAATAAGCCAGCTGGTGAAAGAAAAATACCATATGATCTCACCTATAAGAGGAATCTATTCAACAAAATAAACTAAAGAAGAAAATAAAGCACAGGCACGGAAACATGGAGCAGACTGAAAGTGACCAGAGGGGATGGGGAAGGAGGACAATGGTGGAAAGAAGGAGAAGGGACTAAACAAAGAACATGTATGAATGACCCATGGACATGGACCACAGAGTGGGATTGACTGTGGGAGTGGGGGCGGGGTGGGATGGGTGGAGGAGGGCAAAGGGGGAAAAAATTGAGACAACTATAATAGGATAAACATGATTTAAAAAATAAAAAATTTAAAAAAAATATGAGAATGAAAACAGATAAGCAGCCCACTTCTGTACATTTCAGAAGGCAAGTCACACTCAGGTGAACTGTAACTGCTGACTTGGGGTCTAGACACCCCTGACTGAGACGGAACAGCTGCAGTGCATCAGTCCCTGGGGGAGGGGGAGGGACACCTGAGCAGCCCCAGGAATAAACATGGGAGCTCCACACACCCTCTTCTCCTGCAAGCGTGGAAGTCCTCCTTCCCCCAGGCTTCCATTCTCACAAGTGAGGCAACTCTCAGCTTGGTATTGTTTAATGTTTTGACCCAAACTCCCCAATTCATTAACCCCTTTGTCTACCTGATCTTCACAGACTTCTCCATGTGTGAAAAATATACCTTGAGCGCACCTAAACTGGTTGCAAAATTCAAACACAAGGTCTAAAACTGTCTAGACTTAAGAAACCACCACCTCAGAAAGGGTGTCATCCCCTCTCCCCCTCCTTGGGCACCTGCACCCCCAGCTTCCTGCAGCTCCCCCAGTGCACCGGCTCCTTCCCTGGTGGTGTGAGCAGGTAGGACCCTGCAGGGTCAGGCTCCCCAGGAAAAACTGGGCCTTCAAGTGCTTCCCTGTGCAGGCTCCAAAGGGGCCTTAGATAGCGCCACTGGCCACAGGCCTCTGCTCCCCCCGATTGATATTTAAATTACATAAACCTGACATTTGAACAATCCAGCCAAATCACTCAAACCCAATGATAATGTGGAAAGAGGGGAAGAAAACAGTAACTCACTTTCCTTAGTTAAACCAGAAAAGCCCAAGTATCTGTTCCATTCAGCAAAGAGGTGTCAGTTAATCACTACTTCCATGGCAAGACATTGTTTTGTAATAATTAATCACACTTGAACACGTCTGCTCTGCAAGTCTGAGCTCTGGAATTTCATTTGAAAGCATCAAAAAGTAAAGAATATACCTCAGAAACTTACTACATGCTGAAAGGAAGAAAATCATGAAACCTGAATTCTTAACAAATGAATTGGTAATAGTGGATTTTTTTTATTCTGAACTTCACCACTCTTGCCTCTTTGAAACTATTTTATGCTCTTTCAAGCTCTATTGATTAAATACATTCCACCCTCGCTGAAAAAGGAGGGCGAAAAAGGAAAACTTAAATAAATCAATAAATCTCGTCAAGTATCACATTCAGGGAGGGACAGTGCTAACAGGGCAGATCATCCAGGAAAGATTTCAAAAAGGATCATCCACCCAAAGGACTTACTACAGGATGTCTGTGCCCAGGAAAGATCCTGGGGGTGAGGAATGGGGATCCCCTATCAAGCAAAATATTCAGAGAAAAAAAATACCTGTCTTTCAGAAATATCCATTCATAACTATGTGGAAAAAAAGGATAAACAAGTAAAATACTGGACTGTTTCAGATGCACCACGAATGACATTGTGGATCAGAGAAAGGAAGTGCCATTTGGGAACAAGGGGAGGGATCTGGAAATTTAGGGATTTACTGCCAGCCCCAGGCAGAGCTTTGCTGGTGGAACGTGCTCGTGGATTTGATACCCTCCTCCCCCGACATTGGGAAAACTCAGGAAAATACAAGCGTCAATGGGGAGAGAGGAATTCAGGATGCCACACACCGCAGCTCCTCCCACGCAACAAACTCCGGAGTACGACTTACGACTGTTCCCTTACGACCCTCCCTGTCACCGCACCATCTGGGAAGAATTGGGGCTGCGGGCACAAAGCTGCCAAAGAAGCTTCTAGGCCGAACTGGTCGCGAAGGGACGGGGCAGGACTCCCGGAGTCCCGGCTGCCGCCCAGTCCCCGCGCTGCCAGCCAGATAAGATAGGTACCAGCGGCGGCCCAGGGCACTGAGGTAGGTGGACTCGAACCTGACCGTGGGGAGGCCGGTCCGCTAGGCAGGTTCCAGCCGTTCCGACCAGCCCCATGTCTCCATCTCCGCACCCTGCCCGCACACTCACCATTTCTAGGTTTCCTGGTCTCCCTGAGTCCTGTTTACGACCCGTACAGATGACAGCGCCACAGAGGCCGTGGCAGAGCCACCGGGAACCGTTCACGAAGCCGAGCAAAGATCTAGACTAGAGCTTGGCCCGAGGGCGAAGGCGCATTATGACGCCTTCGCTGGCCGTTGCCCAACCCATCTGTCCCAGCGAGGCCCCTGACTGGACAGTTTATAAGGCTCCGCCCCCACGCGCCTGAGTGACAACCACGGGGAGGACTTGTGGCTTTGCTGAACTGGCTCTCAGAGGCCCAGAATCTGCCTGCCCCCTCCCTCCCCATCCTGCGCCCCACCACCATTTGCTTTTAAATACAACTTTTTCCTGGCCTGGGGTTTATTCCTTTGTCTTTTCCACAGCTCCGTCAGAAGGCGTGGTCAGAGTTGTAAGCAGAATTCCTGATTCAGTTTCAAGATGGAGCAAGTACAGACAAGAGGGTGGGGCAGGCCCGGCCACCCAGAAACAAGAGGGTCTGCTGTCTTGCACAGAGGGTCAAGGATTTGGCTTAAGGCTGTGAGCTCACTCATGGAACTGTGACCCATGTTTAGAAACACAATCTGACCTCACCGGCTATTGCAGAGTCTGGCTCCATTTTAGTCTTTGATCCTTGCAAGCCTTGAACTTTCCACCCATCCCTTTCCCACCCCTTCTCATTTGGTCCTTAGGAAAAAGAACCCCAGAGCACTGGGCTCCGGTAGGAAGCTGGAACCCCGCTGGGCATAGGGTCTCTTCTCAACCTAATCACAAGGTGTGAAATGTATTAGTTACATCCTCAGGTGTATGTTGGATACTAAAGAACATTTATTTTAGGTCAGTTTTTCCCTGTGTCCCGAGAAAACTTCAAAATGTAAACGGATTTAATATCCCTAACGTTTAATTCCTATTTTTACTGACATAAGCAAAACTATTATAAATTTTGAGATGCACTTGGAAACTTCCTTCTCCCCCAGCTTTACTGAGGTATAACTGATTAATACAATTGTATTTAAAGATCACAACATGATGATTTGATATGCATATACTGCATTGAACACTTTATATAGCTATCTCTCTCAGTCTTCCAATATTCCTCCTCCAATCCCCTCCCTTGGAGAATCACTAGTTGTCTCCTGTGAGTTCCCTATGAGGGTCTTTCATATGCATGGCATAAAAAATTTATGGTCTTTGTGATTAACTTCACTTACTTAGCATAATTTTTTCAAGACATATCCCTGTTGTAGCATATATCAATATTTCATTTGTTTTTATGGTTGAGGAATAGTCCGTTGTGACAACTGTAAATCAGTACTGACTAGGTGTTTCTGTCACTGATCCACTGGGTTCTGTGATCTCCCAGGACAGAAATCAAAAGAGATCACCAGAGCCCTGGCTAGTGTGGCTAGAGCTCAGCTAGTGTGGTTCACAGAACCCTGGCCTGTGAACCAAGTGGTCACTTGTTCAATTCCCAGTTAGGGCACATGCCTGGGTTGTGGGCCAGGTCCTCAGTAGGGGTCATGTTAGAGGCAACCACACATTGATGTTTCTCTCCTTCTCTTTCTCCTTCCATTCCCCCGTCTAAAAAAAAAAGTAAATAAAATATATATATTTAAAAAAAAGAGAGAGAGAGATCACCAGAAACCAATATACAGTTTTAACCGGGAATCAAACCAGAGTCTCCCACACGGCAGGTGACAATCTACGACTAAACAATCCTGGGTTCTTAAGAAACCCCAAGATATAAATTAAGAGAGTTCACCACAAACATTAGGACTCAGGGGAAGGTTTATTAAATAGCTCATACAATAAGGGAGACACCATTTAAAGGGAAAAGGAGAAATGTTGTTCTCTGAATGAAAGCCAAGAACAGTTTTAAGGAAGTTGAGGTGGGAAAAATGATGTCTAAATGTGACATTTAAGTATGTAGACTTTGTCCTGGCTGGTGTGGGTCAGTGGATTGAGTGCTAGCCTGTGAACTAAAGAGTTGCTGGTTCAATTGCCAGTCAGGGCACATGCCTGAGTTGTGGGCAAGGTCCCCACTAGGGGGCGTGTGAGGCAACCAACATTGATGTTTCTCTCCTCTTTCTCCCTCCACCCCCCAGTCTAAAAAATAAAAAAACAAAAAAATATATATATGTACACACACACACACACACACACACACACACACACACACTTTGGGGACCTGTGCAATGGAACTACATACATCTTTTGGCACAGCATATCTCATTAGCATGTTAAATCTTCATTTAGGAGTATTTTTTAGCATTTAAATGAGGGACAATCACCAAAAAAAACCTCCAAAAGTCTTTTCTGCTAGCTAGCACACATGCGTGACTGAAAGGCACAAAAATTTAAACCCAGCAAAATAAATCCTACAGACAACAGTGTCCTTCAGTCTAGTGACTAACTGGCTTTACAGGGAAGACCCTAGGATTGATTAATGAGGTTTTAGATTCCTGACAGCTGGCCCTGGAGAGTAGCCTGCCATTCTCATTTTGTCACCAAAAAGGACTTATCTGGGACAAAAGAAAGAAATGCAATGGAGCGTATGCAGACACAGCCAGGCACATGCACACAGTGCCCAGCATGCCAAGATGGAAAAGTATTTATAGAAAGGAAAAATGAAGTGAAGGGGAGCCGCAGTTACAGAGTTTTGTTGTAAGCAAGAAGTTCTTCCCAGAGGGTTCTCGGGATGACAGAGTGCAAGAGCGCCTCCCAGAAGCCCTAGCTCCTCCCACAGGCCCTCCTGACTGACCCCGTTCCTTTAAAGTCTCATAATTTTTATCATTCCTCCCTATTGATCCAGATCTTTCTCTGAAAGCACCACCAAGCAACAGGCAGGTCTTCCAACTTCAGCATCCTTTTGTCCCTTATTCTCAGGAAGAACCTTTTCTAGGTGTCATCTCTCACATCAGATGGCAGGTGTAAGGACCGGCAACAGCTTGTGCTCAAGGTTAACAAGCAACAGGTACAGAGCTTAATAACAAGAATAATTCAAAACAGAATTAGAACACATAGTAAACTTAGTCTATATGATGAATTTAAGTCAGGAGCTCAAACCTGTACGTAATAAAACAAAAATCATGATTACCTTGGATAGATCAAAGTTTTTAAAAAAGATTTCATTTATTTATTTTTAGAAAGAGGGGAAGGAAGGGAGAAAAAGAGGAAAAGAAACATTGATGTGCAAGGTACGGTTGCCCCTCACATACCGGGGACCTAGCGTGCAACCTAGGCATGTGCCCTGACTGGGAATCCAACCTCAGGCTGGCACTGAGCCACACCAGCCAGAGCTATATCAAAGTTCTTGATGACAGATTCAAAAACCAGAAAAGTTCCTTCCTTTCAACAATAGACTAGGAAATATAAACAAGGCCATGCTTCTTCCAAGGAAAATAAAAAATAAAGTAAGAATAAATAGTAAAGAAACAGGTTTGTACAGGCCTGATTCAGTGTTCAGGGAAAGCTGTTTCCTTCAAAGATCACCCGCTTTCAACTTTGACAGTTTCAGGTCACCAGAGTGTGTACGGTTCCAGTCCTAGTTTGAGGCCTTCTTTAGGTGGGACACTCACTCTCCAAGAGTCTACACCCTGGGGTTTAGCACCACAAGGTTTAGTCAACAATACCTAAAGGGGCCCGTCAAACAAGACTGGAGGGAATCTTTTTTTTTTTTTTTTAAGATTTTATTTATTCTTAAAAGGGGTAAGGGAGGAAACATCAATGTGTGAGAGATATATTGATTGGTTGCCTCTCACTTGTGCCTGACTGGGGACCAGGCCCGCAACCCAGGCATGTACCCTGACAGGGAATCGAATCAGTGAACCTTTCACTTTTTGGGGTGATGCCCAACCAACTAAGCCATACCAGTCAGGGCAGGAGGGAATCTTTTATTTTTATTTTAAAGGTTTTATTTATTTATTTTTAGAGAGAGAGGAAGGGAGAGAGGAAATGTGTGGATGTTGCTTATATGCCCCCAACTGGGGACCTGGCCCACAACCCAGGCATGTGCCCTGACTAGGAAGTGAACCAGTGACCCTTACATTTGCAGGCTGGTGCTCAATCCCCTGAGCCACACCAGCCAGGGCTGGAGGGAATCTTTTTTAAGGTATCTTTTTCAGCATACAAAATCTCTAGGTTGTAGAATGTGGGTTTTGAGTTTTTCATTTCCTTGACTGCACTGTAAGAAGATTTCATTACTAAAGCATGATTATTTTTCATGGGAGCAATTAAGCCTTTACAATATGTCTCCCTTAATCAACTGTGGATCAAAAGAAGCAGGAGCCAAATGCATGGGGCGTCTTGTAATTATCTCCAAAGGTGAGAGTTTATGAATTCTAAAGGGGTGGATTGGAGGTTTTTTTGGGTTTTTTTACTTTTTTATTGACTTTATTGGGGTGACATTGGTTAATAAAATTATATAGGTTTCATGTGTACAGTTCTGTAATACACCATCTATATATTGTGTGTTAACCATCTTAAGAAAAGTCTCCTCCCATTGCCATTTATTCCTCCCAGATGAAATTTAAAAGGACCAACAAGAATGCTTTTGGCCAAAGTATTTGAAGAGGTACTACAGACTTTGCTGATTGAATTTTAATAATGCCATTACTATGTTTAACTAAACCTGAGGATTGAAGGTGGGAAAGCACACCCACGATGTTGCAGAGCTGGACACATAGTACTTGTTGGATGCAAAATGGGTTCCTCAATCACTGTGGAGTTTCTCAAGTAGAAATAATCTTCTCTAAATAGGACATCAGCCACTGCAGAGGCAGTAACTTGTCTACAGGAGAGAGCTTCAGTCCAGTGAGAAAACATATATATCATGACTAAACACATTTATATCTATGAAATGAAGGACACTGTATCACATCTATTCGCCAAGCCTCAAATGGTCTTTTAGGCCATTTAAAGTCAACAGGGTAGCACTTTGTACAGATGGGAGAATTAAGGTAGGTGCTTTTCGCAGCCTTGTTTGTATCTCCCCACCAATATGGATTAATGTGTGCTACCATTTTGTTGGTGGACTGTGTTTTGATGCCTGTGCAGAAGTCAGGAGTGGAAATTCTAGTTTCTTGTAGGACTGGGTTGTTATTTG